TGAGGAAGGTTAACATTTTTCATATTTGTATTTAAAGTATAAATTAACAATCTATTTTCTGTAGCTGTACTGTTGGCTGACTTATTTTATTATTACTGACCAAACCTCATGAGGTATTTTATATTATTGATAAAACTATAAATTTTATATCTGTTACTACTGCTATAAAAAATGTTTGAACTAAAGCTTTTTAATTATTTAGAACAATGAATTTTAACCATGATCATACATTTTTTATTGTAAATTAATATTACATATATTTATCATCTAAAAAATCTTTAATGAATCACAATTAAATTAATATTTAATACTCGAACCACTTCTGCTACATGGTACTCATTAATATTATATGAATATTATTAATAGTGTTAATATTAAAAAGGGATTTTTTGCCTTGATTTATACTTAACTCAATTTGAAATTAGGAGTTTGTTGTATAATTGAAATTTTTCTTAATTTTTGATTTTGAGTGGTGCAATTTATGTAATGATTTTAAAATGAAGTGTGTTTTTAATTTAAATTAAATTTTTTATGTGTGTTTAAAATTACCTATAATCAACTACCTACTTGTAGTCAAAATATTTCTTTGGTTTTCAACTTCAGCATCTTTCCTAGTGGAAAAGTGAATCTAGTTGGTGCTATCGAAAGGTCAAATTTAATATTCTATGTAGCTCCAGGGGAAACCAAAAATTAAATTAAATGTAAAACTTTAATTTTTAAGCCAAAACAGGTTTTAAAAAAATTCATTTTTCAGTATATCTAACTTAAAAAAACCTACCCTAGATCCATAATATACATATTATACACAGTATATATATTGTATTTTAATATGAGTAGTGAAATGTGATCCATTAAACTTAACAAAAATTAAGTTAATCTTCAAATTTAAAAATGTCTGCCTTAATATTAAGTGTTAAGTAATTTTAAGATAAGTTTATTAAAAATAAATGATTTCATATTATTAATGATTAAATATTTTATTACCCAATGAAGAATCAGCACAAAATTTATCATCAGTCACATAAGGTTCAAATATTTTTGTAAACAAATTCAAACAAGAACTATGATTGATGTATGATAAAGATGCTTCTAATAAAATAGGACTTGAAATGACTTTTTCTATTTTTCCCCAAAAAACAATCTGTAAAAGTATAAAACAGTTTTAATTTACAATATTATAATTAGGTGGCGTTTAATTTTAATCACTTTTTATGTGAGAGTTGGGGATGTGTATAATTAGTTAAACCATACACTATGATGTGTGATTTTGTTTTTATTCAACTGTTAGTGAAAATTTTTTGTAGTAGAAATATTATTTTGATTTTCTACTTCAGCATATTTTCAGATGGGAAGGTGAATTTAATTGGTATTTTTAACAAAAAAAATTTGGAAAGTGTACAATGGTTTTGAAAAATGTTGGGAAAACAATAAAAATAGTTAGAGAAAAGTTAGAATCTAAAATAAGCACAATCTAACCTAACCTTGATAAAATGCATTCATTATTTTTGTTGTAACTAAAGACAGATTATAGTATAACTATAGATACTTTAAATTTTCACTGGATTTTTATGTTACCATTTCCTATATATTGTATCTTTTTGAGCTATTAATAAGTATAAGACAATTTCGACATTTTCTAATTTTATTATTTCTTACAATGTTCTTCATAAGTTCTCCTACCTAAAAAAAATTTCCTTGAAGTTAAATACATTATATGGGTGTTTGAAATTTCACTTAATATTTTTCTAGTCGTTTTCTATAAAAGAGAAATTTTCAAAATAATATTAATCGATTTGAATTTTGAAGTATTTATTCTTATTTAAAATTTTAATATTTTATAGTGTCTTTTCAATAAATGTCAATTAATTTTTTTTCGCGGGTAGTAAAAGATAAAAAGGAATATAAAGTTACTTGTCAGTGCTATAAATGCAGTTAAAAAAAAAAATAAAGACATATGTACCATTGTTTCATAAGCATTTTAAGTTAAAAATTTTGCAAAATTCATCAAAATATTGATAATTTGCCAATTATTTGGTAGTTACAAATAAATACAATTTTTTGTTTTATATCTGAGGATAGACATTTTAAAACAAGGCATAGCAAAAATAATTTGGAGGAAACTCGTTTGCGCACATATTAAAATATTTTAAAATTTACGACAACTCGTTTGTGCACAAACTAGTGAACAATGAAAACCAGATTGTAGGTATAGTTTTTGGTATACAGGGTGCTTTAAGCTACCCATACTCGATCGATTATGACCGTATAGTCTTAAAGCATAACGTGGTTTCCTATCAGTTTTTATCTATCAAAAACGGCATTAACGCTCGCCAAGTACATGAGTCATGAGTATATGAGCTTAAATATTTCTAATTTTCCACTATTTTTGTTAAATGTTTCCGGCGATAACTGATAAACCTTATTAGTTATTACAGATCTCTTTTGTACATTTTAGTTTAGTCTCCGATTGCGATTTGCGGTGCAATAACAATGGACGCTACTTGTTTAGGAGAGAAAAACGTTGTAAAATATTGGAAAATTTCAAATTTCGAGAGTATAGGCAATTAAAAAATGGAAATTTCAATTATCGGTGTACTAATAAATTTTGCAATGCTAGTATTATTGTAAACAATAATGACCAAATTGTCGATGAATCTAACGCGGAGCATAAACATGAATACATGATGCATATTCAGATCAGGTTATATCAAGAGAAATTGCAAGGAGCTCACTGAAAAGAAAGGCAGAAATTTATCTGTATACCCGTCCAAAAAAATTAATACGTCAAGAGCTAAAAAACACCGATGTTGCTGATGATATGGAACATGGTGACAATTTGAAGAAAAATGTTGTTTGAGTTTAATAATTTTACATCAAAAATGAGAAATGACCAATTAAAAAATTGTGAGGTGCGCAGATAATGTACATCCTATAAATGGATACATTTTTTTGAAAAAAGGTTTCTATTGTTCGTAAATTGTGCGCAAATGAGTTACGTTTTTGGGCGCAAATGAGTTGTAAAAAAGGTAAATGTGCACAAATGAGTTGTAGCCAAATAATTCATACTGTCACTAAAAAATCATATAAACACAATTTTTTTTTTATTAATATTTTAAGCTTAAATTTAAACAAAATAAAATATTAAAATGTGGAAAAACAATCATAATTATTTTGTTGCAATTCAAAAATATTGTTATAACATAGACAACTATCTGACAGACCATCTTCACTTAGGATTATTTTTTGTATACATTGATATTATATTTTTTTTTCTCTTTTCTTTTAATATTTGTTATATTGTGATAGTTAATTTTATTATATAGAATTTTTGTTATTTTTATTTTATTTTTACATGTTCACTATTATATTATTATAATTAAAATATTGTTGTATTATCATTATGTAATTGGGCTTGACCCGTATTGTAAATAAATAAAAATAAAAATTACCTATCATTGAAATTATATTTTTATAAACCATCCATGACAGTGACTAACTGAAACTTGTTAAATACTTTACAGCAGAGAATTAGATAAATAATTACCATTTTTAGTTATGTATTGTAAAATGCATTAACATGCAAATATGTGTACATATTTTAGCAGAGAATCTCACGATAATACTCTTTACTTACAGATGGATAATGTACGATAGTAATGAATATAGTAATTAACTATAACTAAATCCCAATTGAATTATTGAAATAATACTACAAACCAACATTCCCTTGATCTCCCTTGACCACATTGTATTCACCATTCCAATCGATACAACAGGTGCTACAACATCATTAAAAGAAACTCAGTTTTGTAATACAATTATAGCTATACGTTCAGCATACGACAAAGTAAGAGGTGTATGATGTTCATTCAGGTAAATCATTTCTACCTGAAAAATTATTTTAAATTATAATATATCATACCAATTAATTACAGTTTTTTGAATCATTAATAACTTACATTTATTATTTTAATAAATTCACTGTTGATTACTTTAATATCTTTAATATCTTTAGTATATTTTCCAACAGCAATTCTGTATAGGCCATTATTTACTGATATTAACTCAGATAACATATCATCATTTTTCTGAACACAACGAGCAGCTAAAAATGATATTTATTTAAGTTTCATTTTTTTAAAATACATTAAAGAAAGATTTTACCAGAAATTATTACATTTGGAGTAATAAATGATCCTCCACATATCCATTAATTTATATATTGCAACATACCAAGGTGCCGTTCCTATATTATTTTTTTTGACATTGGGAAACAATACGTTTTTTTCAACATATGCTCTACCATAACCTAAAACAATATAAGAAGCTCCATACTTAGATTAAAATGAGTAACAACGCATAACTCTAATATATATTAGTTATCACACAAACATATAAATAATATTAATAATTAATTGTCATATAACTATTATATGGTACCTATGGTCATATTTGTTCCATAATCGTGCAGAGGCAATAGAACACATAAAACTTTTGTCTCGTCTGAACCATCTGAACAATCCTTATGACCATCACAAACCCACAACAATTCAATACACAGTCCATTTGAACAATGAAACTTGTCCTCGGTGTTTCTATAATTTTATTCAAATGTGTGACAAATAATAATCAAATATTTACTACACAACAGTTAGACTCAACCTTAATTGTATATTACTACTTATCAGCCATCTGCAAGAAATATGGTTAAAAATGATCAAATTTGCATCAAAAACGATTGACTGACTTATTAATATATTATTGTCATGTTAACTGAATTAGAAACAAGTTAGTGAACAAAATATTCTAATAAAAATACCTATAAGGTATTTGCGAATTTGAAGTGTTTATTCAACTTAAGACTTTTAATTTGAAATATAAAATATTAAACTATAGTTAAGTTATAAGTTGCTTTGATCTTATGATCCTCTTAACATTGGAGAGGCTTTGTAAAGTGTTTTTTTTTATAAGTCTAGAGTATCAATAAGTGGGAATTGAGAGGGTCAGAACAGAACTGAGAAGTTATGTAGTAAGTACTAGGCACGATTAAAGACACAGCCTCAGAAGAATTTCTAAGACCATATTAAAGATATACTGGTTGCGCAACGAGTAAAGAGTAACGACTAGAAGTGTTGTCAACTTTTGTTTGATAAGTATTGTATATATATAAATATCTTAAATCGTAGGATAGGTCATTTGTGCTTTAGGTAATCAAATCATAAATTAACTCTATAATTTTTTTAGTATTTAGGTCTCTCATATGCAAAGATCGTTCCAACCGAATCTATGAATAAATTTAATTTATCAAAAAAAAAAAAAAAATGAGATTAAAGAATATTTTCTTTTCTTATAATAGATATGAACTATGAAATTTGCCTTCAGATTATTTGAGGCTTGTTTAAATTCCACTTCGCAAGTATTTTCTAAATACCTCAACTGGTCTATAGATGAAAAACAATAAGTGACCGACTTTTGATTAGTAACTGGTATTAACTAGTTAAATGAAAACTTACCAATAAATTCCCATATTTTTGGATGAGGCTTTATGATTTCAAATAGTACGGCATGGTAACTTTCTAAATAATTATTTGTCCTAATATCGCGATTATATACCGTAAATCTTTCAGGAGTTATGGAATGAATCCAAAAAGGAATAATGTATTCATAAATAAATCGGTGGTAACGCCAAAGCAACATCTTCATACTGCACTATGAATACAATTATGGTATTAACATCATCAACCACCGAAGAAACTCTGCTACTTCTTTCAGACGGAAGGTATGGTAGTGCAAGTATCTGTAAAACATTTAAATAATTAATTCACCATAATGATTTATTTTAAATGTTTAATAATAGGTACAATATTTAGAACCATCCGGAAAACAGGAGCAGCAACAAGGTTTATTTTGACTGAATTGTAAACACCAATCGACTTGTTTCTGGCATACCGCAGAATCGCCTAAATGAATTAGTAATAATTATATATATATTTTAATACTTCTTATTAAACCCTTACCTGACAATAATGAAAATA